GAGTCGGGGGGAGGGGCATTGGCAGGGCTGGCATAGCAGGGGGTGCTATGAGTCGGGGGGGAGGGCCATGGGCGGGGCGGGCATAGCAGGGGGTGCTGTAGTCGGGGGTCAGAGCTGGGTGCCAGCCCAAACCTGGCTGAGCAGGAGGTTGCGCGGCAGGTTAGATTTCCCATGGACCGGCAGACCGAGGGAGCAGGGCAGGACCAGCAGCGGGGATGCTCGCGAGCTGCCCTGGCAGAGCTGTGCACAGCCTGTATCATCGGCTTTCGCAGCAGCTGCTCCCAACCAAACCTGGCCCAGCGCTGCCCAGCACTATTAGCCCCTCGCTTACTGCACACGAGCACCAAATTCATTCCCATCCCAGGGACCAGCCCTTACCTGGAAAAGGGCCTTGTTGTTGATATCCATCAGGACCACTCGCTTCTCAGCGTTCTTCACCCTGCCCTTCATCTGTGCAAAGAGGATCTTTGGCAGATTCACCTCAAACCCATGGACCTCTCTGCCCACCTGCAAAACAAAGCCCAGCAGAGCCCTCAGAGTGGCCGGCGCACACGGTGAGGCTGCCCAGGCACAGGACGCTAGGGAAAGCCTGGGGCTCTGGCTACACACGCACCACAACACCCGCTGGGGTAAATCGGCATCACCAGAGCTACGCTGATTTACCCCAGCTGAGGATCTAATGCCCAGGCCAGGGACCCACATGCATCACTGCTCTGGTTTGTAGTGTGGACGGCACCCGACTGGGTGTTAAAGGGACGCCAGCAACTTGAGGTAAGAACGTTTCTATTCCAGTCGTTTAGCCGGGTTGGCGGCTCCCTGCTGGTCCCTCCTTTCGGCAGCAGCACTGAGATGAAGCCTCACAACTTCGACGCTCCTCCCTGGGCTCTAAAGGCAGGTCCTCTGCCTCCCCTGCCTCCCGCTGTTCCCCAGCCTCATGCCAGAAGGGCGGAGCCGGGCTCCCCATGCAGGAGTCTCAAGGAAAGGAGGTTCCCTCCAGGCTGCCCTCACAGGGGTGCGCAGCCCTCTGGCAGGGCCCATGGCACAGCCTGCCAGCGAGCTCTCCTCGGGAGTGAGGGCAGGGGGCTCCTCTGATCACCCTCATGAGACAGGAAGTGTGACTAGTCAGAGCATGGGCCCCCACCAAGTGCTACCCAAGGCGGCAAGGGAAGAAAGTGAAACCAGAATGAAGAGGAGATTTCCCTGGCAATCGGTACAAAGAACAGAAGTCTGATTTTTCGGGGTGAGGGCATCCCTTTAACTACACGCTGTAACCAGACACCTCCCAGGTTACCCTGGTTATGGGAAGGAGTCAGGTCCCCTCTACATTGCAAACTGTAATGCTGCGAAGACCAACCCAGGACCACGACCTGGAAAGGTTCCACAGAGAACAAGGCACAACCTGGAAACATGCCAAGTGCATCAAGAGGTTCTGCAAACGCTCCGGTTGGTCTGGGGTCCCTGCTCGAGGCACCTAGCACAGACTCTGCTTTAGGCCCTGCAGGTAATTTCAGTCTGTCCCTGGATGGCTGGGCCATTAAGGGGAGCAGGACCCAGCCTGTGACTGATCAGCTAGGGATGAGGCGATTCTAGAAGCCAGCAGGCAGGCCAGCTGGGTCTGGAGCCATCAGGAAGAGCTACAAGAAGCAGATCGACTCCTGTGGGAAGCCCTGGAGGAGGGCATGACTCTCAGGTAAGAGACCTGTAGGGAACAGATACCCCCTGGATTTGGGGGAAGGGATGGCTGAGATGGAATCTGTGCTGACTGTTCTTATGTAAAATAAAGCTGAAGCTTCAGGGCTTCAACTGGTTACTGGCAGGCATCAGGAAGGGAGGGTTGCCCCTTGCCCCCAGGTGGGACATTGAATGGGGGTGGCCGGTGTGCTGAGGTGACCCTGAGTGTTCTCTCTCTCGGGTGCTTGGCTGGCTGGTTCTTTGCTCACATGCTCAGGGTCTAACTGATCACTGCCGTATGGGGGTTGAGAAGGAACTGTCCCCCAGCTCAGATGGGCAGTGACCTGGAGAGCTTTTCGCCCGTCTCTGCAGTATGGGGCGCGGGTCGCTTGCCAGGATCATTTGAGTGTATCTGCCTTCATCATTTCCCTGCTGTCTGCAGGCATTCGGGCACCTCGGTCCCTGCTGTTCTCTGCCTGTGGCACACAATAGGCTAGTCTCCTTTAGGCTGCAATACGTGGGCCTCGTTTCAGTTGTTGGGTTAGTGTGCGGGTGTCGGTGGCCTGTACTGTACAGGAAGTCCGACTAGATGATCTGGTGGTGCCTTCTGGCCTTTAACTCTATGGTCGTGGCTCTTTGACCCCTGGCACACCTGCACTCACCTCCAATTCAGACATGAAGGGCAGATCCTGAGAGGCTTTGCTGGGCCCTATCTTCAAAACAGTCGCACGGACTGTACTCGTCCCAAAAGTCTCGCTCTCCCCTTCAAACACCACCTGTCCCAGGTCCGATTCCAAACGCAGAAGTCTCCTTTTGGGGAAGAAGGAACAGAGCATGGGTCTAGAGAGGGTAGGAGGGAAGAGAGCCTCAAAGCAGGGGCTGTACCACCACCAAGTGACAGGAGGAGAGTTTTGAGGACCCGCTGCTGGGGTTGGGAGGCTGTATATCTGACCTACCTCTCCCGAAAACCAGAGCTCCCCACAGACACACTCCTCGGGCATGTGAGGTGTACAGACCGTGATGGCAAGTGCCTGATCTGGGAGAGGAGGAGCTGGGCATAGTTTGTATACTGTACTCACTCATATGGTGCAATGGTCTTTCTTCCAGTGGGTTTCTTCATGTAGTTTGCTAAATTCCTTAATCCTTCTTCAATCTCATGCACCCTGCTGATGTCTTCAGCAGTCGATGTGGAAAGAAAAGAGAATGCTGGATTAGTTCTGTGAAGAGGGGACAACGCTGGTTTCTGTAGCATCCCTCCCCCAGGCAGCAAGTGCTTTATACTGTGTTCTCAGGCGACTGCGTTATTAATTGTTTGGTAATCATGGGTGTGATGAGGACTGGTCTGAATTCAGTGGAGCCACTCCTGATTTACATCAGCATGAGTGAGTGGCGAGCCAGATGCCGGCTGTTTGCAATGGTTCTGCCTGGGTAGGTCCGAATGGCCAAGCAGAGCATGGATACGGCTTAAGGCATTTGGGGCCAGACTTTCAAAGTTATTCAGCACCTAAGGGGATTCTCCAGAGCCCCTCTAGGCATCTTCTGGTGCCTAAATACCTTCACAAACCTGCCCTTTGGAGCCGAGCTGCTGGGGCTGGCCATGCAAAAGGAAGAATTCGCATGAGGTGAGCCCTGAGCCTCTTGCATCCACTGGGACGCAGGAGAGGGGAGACAGCCCATGGTGGTGAGTTTATTGCCTGTCTCATTCCTCTCTGAGCTTCAGTTGCCCAGGAGATGGGCTTCTGAACAGCCAACTGGCTGCACCAAACTGTAAGGAATGGGCTAGCTGAGGGTAATAGCCAGTAATGGATACAATCGCTTTGCCACACTGTCTGGCAGGCCATTAGGTTACAGCAGCTCTAGCATAGGTGCAAACTCATGTCATTCCTATCTGCACAGGCCGAGAACCTCAAGGTGCAATCTCCAGCATGCATGCTCCTGCTCTCCCGTCTCTTACTCTGTGTGTCTCTAACCAGAATGCAGCCGAGGCCATGGAGACTGCAGGTCCTAGCACCCAGAGCTTCATCTGATCTCAGCGGTCTCCAACTGGCAGATGTTCTAAAGCAGAGGCGGGCAAACTTTTTGGCCTGAGGGCCGCATTGGGTTTCGTAAACTGTATGGAGGGCCGGTTAGGGGAAGGGGTCATGGCCCGGCCCCCTCCTCCTATCTGCTCCCCCGGGACTCCTGCCCCATCCAACCCCCCTGTTCCCTGACGGCCCCTCTGGGACCCCTGCCCCATCCACACACCCCTGCTCCCGGTCCCCTGACCGCCCCCGGACCCCCGCCGCCCCATCCAACCCCTCCTCTCATTCCTGATGGCCGCCCCCAGGACCACTGCCCCCATTCAACCCTGTTCCCATCTCAACCCCTATCCACACCCCCGCCCCCTGACCACCACCCCAAACTCCCTTGCCATCTATCCAACCCCCCCTGCTGGAGCCAGGCCACGCCGCCGCCGCCACCGCCTCCACCACGCAGCTCAGAGACCGGGTCAGGCTAGGCTCTGCAGCTGCGCTGCCCCAGGAGCTCACAGCCTCGCCGCCCAGAGCCTTGCGCCGGAGGCAGAGTGAGCGAGCTGAGGCTGCAGGGGAGGGGGAACAGCAGGGGAGGGGCCTGGGGCTAGCCTCCCGGGCCAGGAGCTCGGGGGCCGGGCAGGACGGTCCCGTGGGCCGCTGTAGTTTGCCCACCTCTGTTCTAAAGGATGGAGTCCTGATGGATCCCTATAAGGCCCCCATACAGCTGTGACCTGAGGACCCCTGCACTGCTGAAGGCAGCACAACTGGCCATTAAAGGTGGGACATTGTGACTAGATGAGGGGTTATCCGGTGAAATGCAGGACCTTTGCAGCCATGTCTTCAAAAGTGGCCACTTACTTTGTGTGCTTACACAGAGAAACTTTGGGCTGGATTTCCAGAGGTGTTGAGAACCCACAACTCCAGTTCTTGTCACTGGGAGAGGTGGGATTTCGACACTGTGGGGAAATCGGCCACAGAGCGCTGCATGTGGGTGCCCCAAAAATGAGGAACCCAAAACTAGTGGCCATTTTTGAAAAATGATGGAATTAGTGACCAGTGGAGAAGCCAAATGCCCTTCTCTACCTCCTAATGGAGCATCAGCTGCCTCGGGGGTTTTCCCAGAACCTTCCCATCCATGGGCAGACAGAGCCAGCCCTGCTTAGCTTCTGAGACTGAACACGCTCAGAGGCTGCGGTGGTACCGCTTCAAGTTCTCTAACCCATTTAACGTATTGATTCAACTGTACCACGGATGGAGAAGGAGTAAACAGCGGCGCTGCTGAGGGAGGTGTTCCGCAGGCCTTTGCCGTAGGCGTAGGACACGCTGGAAAGCACAGGAACCCCACTTCTATTCTGCGGTGCACTTGGGTTTGAAAAGTGGAAGGAAGGCTCTGCCTCGGTACTCAGCGTGTAGTTGTTTCTGCCGTACGTGAGGTTGAAAATCCTATCCCTTTGGTACCAGTAGAGGCAGAAGCGGTAGTTCCCCAACTTGTCGGGTAAAGGGACGTTTACAAGGTTTGGTGGGAATGGCGCACTTATCTTCAGCGTGTCAGCACTGTTCTCGATGGTGATGATGATGTTCTCGGGCTGCATCTGATAAGTGATATGACTTTTATTCGTTTGGCTTCTTTCGCCACAAAATCGAAAGTCTTCTGCGTGGCGGCTGCTTCCTTCGACCCCTGCGTTACACAAAACCGCACTGTAAGGTGTAGCTCAGCCTGAGGGGCTCCATACGCCAGGAGTTCCCCAGGTTATTCACCTCCTCGGTGACCCCACATGACACAGCTGTCTACTACTTATTACATGGATCACAGGAAGCATCGGGGCCCCCAATGTGGTAGGTTCTGCCCATATACGAGAGAGAGAGAGCTCCTGCTCTGAAAATCTTGGGAGCCATGGAAGAACCCACTACCATAGTGTCTGAGTGCCTCCCAGTCTTTCATGCCTTCAGCCACACACTCCCCGGTGAGGCAGGGCAGGCCTGTTATCCCCATGGTATGGATGGGGAAGTGAGGCCCAGAGAGACTAAGTGACTGCCCACGGTCACCCAGGGAGGTGTTTTCAGAACAAGCATGGGAACCCAGCTCTCCTGAGGCTCAGGCCAGGCCCATCCTTCCTCTAAATGGACTCTAACCTCACCCGGGTGGCTGATCGCTCCCAGGTGTGCTGTAGGACATGAGGAACACAGATAACAATAATGCGTTCTCCATGTTCATCCAGTCTTGTTACTGCCCTGATTCATCTGCATGCCTCCAGCCTGTCCTGGAAGGAGAGGGGAATTCCATCTCGGAACACAATGACGGTCTCTCTGTCTTTCAGGAAACTTAATTAGAGGGAAAGTCCCTCTATACCTCCTGCCCCCCACCTCACTCCACCCATACTGGGACCACTGTTTCCTCCTAACAGGTACTATTCTGGCACTGGAGGTGGGGCAGAAGGTTGATAATGCTACATCCTTGCCACCTCGGCTGTTGTAAGCCATATAGACCAGCGTAGAGGTGAGGAAATAACCAGGGAGAATATTACCTTGCAAAAGGAAAAGCAGAGCCAGAAGGAGGCGATCCATCATGGGTGGCTTTCCCAGCTCTTGATGTTCCGCAGTGAGAGACTTTGACCCTGAGAGAGAGAAGCACACAACAGCAGAGTGAGTTTGTCTAGAGAACTGCAGGAATTTTTTACAGCTCAGGGCCTGGAACAGGCAGAAAAGCCTGCAGTTCTTTCTGCATCGGCATGGGCTGAGTTGAGCTACCACGCGAGGTGTCGGACACCTGCAAATGCCAGGAATTGTGTTCCTGTGAGTACCAGAGAGAAGACAGAATGGTAGCTCTATCCGTGCAAGAAGGCTGGACACAACTGTTCTATTGTCATCTGCCACTAGGGCAGTGGTGGACAACCTGTGGCCCGTCAGAGTAATCCGCTGGTGGGCCGCAAGACAGTGTGTTTACATTGACCATCCGCCGACACGGCCGCCCACAGCTCCCAGTGGCTGCGGTTCACCGTTCCCGGGCAATGGGAGCTGCGGGAAGCAGTGTGGGATACAGGGAGTGGTACATTGGGAGGTCCTGCAGGCTGGGGGTACACTGGAGCGCAAGCATTTATCAGAGAATGTGACCCCAGCTGCTCCCTCCCAGCTCTTAGCTCCCCGGGCTGGCTGGGCTCAGCTCCCCGCTCTGGGTGTTGTGATTTCTGGGGTCACAGCGCTGCTCAGGTTTGGCCTGGCCTGGCCGGGCCAAATTTGTGTAAGTGGAGTTGTGACCTGGTGCTTGGGGTTGCAGCACCACTCACTCCAATCTGGCCCAGCTGTCCCCATGCTGTCATGATGGAGGGGTGGCTGGGGCAAACCCAGGGTTGTGAGTTCAATCCCTGAAGGGGCCATTTAGGGATCTAGGGCAAAAATCTGTCTGGGGATTAGTCCTGCTCTGAGCAGGGGGTTGGACTAGATGACCTCCTGAGGTCCCTTCCAACCCTGATATTCTATGATTCTAAACCGGAGTGGCACCGAGACCCCATGCACCAGGTCACAATGTCCAGAGTGGGGAACTGAGCCCAGCCTGCCCCACAAAGTTTTGATACATTCTAGCGATCCCATTTTGGGTCGCGCCTCACAGAGTGAGAAACCCTGCTCTAGTTCAACCCCTACTTCTACAGCCAGCAGATCTGCCCCAGCTGTTTTTCTATAACCATTTCACTGCATTACATCTGATTCCTGGCTCGCTCCTATCTTTCCTTCCTCCCATTTTCATTTGCGGTGCTGCTGAAATTATAACGAGGTGAAATCCAGCACAAGGAAAGAACAGAATGTTCTGACAGCTGTTCAGTGGCATGTGCGGAAAGGAGCTGGATCCAGACCAGTAGCTCTAAACGACAGGTGTCCACATCGCAAAACCCATCGCTGCAACTGACAGTAACTGCCCCTCTGCGCAGGTCAGTCCACAATATTCCAATACCGGGTTTTCGGCTCCTTCCTCTGAAGCAAGTGGGACTGGCCATTGCCAGAGGATAAGTCTATCATGAAATCAAAGCAGTGAGGCTGCTCCAGCAGATATACCCGCGCTATCGTGGCTAACAATAGAAGCGTGGGTTTCAGCAATGTGAGTAGGAAACCAAGGTCCCCGGTGTGCTTGTACAGCCCACGCTGCTGTATCTCCATTGCTATTTTTAGCCATGCTAGTGTGCATATGGGAGTTTGCCTATAGGACTGGGATGGGCAAACTTTTTGGCCTGAGGGCCACATCGGATTTCAGAAATTGTATGGAGGGCCGGTTAGGGGAAGGGGTCTGGTTCCCCCCCCCATCCACTTGCCCCCCCGGGACTCCTGCCACCATGACGCCACCCCCCTGGGACACCTGCCCCATCCAACCACCCCTTCTCCCTGTTCCCTGACTGCCCTGGGAACCTCTGCCCCTGACTGCCTCCCGCGGGCCCATCCAACTCCCCCTCTCATTCCTGACCGCCCCGGGACCTCTGCTCCATCCAACCCCCCTGTTCCCCGCCCTCTGACCGCCCCGACCCCTATCCACACCCCCGCCCCCTGACCACCACCCCGAACTCCCCTGTCCTCTATCTAACCCTCCCTGCTCCCTGCCCCCTTACCCCACTGCCTGGAGCGCCGGTGGCTGGCGGCGCTACAGCCACGCTGCCCAGCTGGAGCTGGGCCACGCCGCCACCACGCAGCACAGAGACTGGGTCAGGCCGGGCTCTGCAGCTGCGCTGCCCCAGAAGCTCACAGCCCCGCCACCCAGAGCCTTGCATGGGCAGTGGAGTGAGCTGAGGCTGTGGGCAGGGCCAGCTCTACTGTTTTTGCCACCCCAAGCAGTGCGCCGAATTGCCACCGCGGAGGCAGTCCGTATGACGTTAGGGCGGCACGCCCGTTTCCATGGTGGCGGCAATTCGGCGGCAGCTTCTGTCTTCAGCCGGAAGACAGAAGCCGCGGAATTGCCGCCGCGGGCAGCTGAACATAGAAGCTGCCGCCGAATTGCTGCTGCCACGGAAACGCGCGTGCCGCCCTAACGGCACACGGCCTGCCCCTGCCGTCCGCGGCGGCAATTTGGCACGCTGCTTGGGGCGGCAAACACACACGGACTGCTGCCCCTTGCAGATTGCCGCCCCAAGCACCTGCTTGGAATGCTGGTTCCTGGAGCCAGCCCTGGCTGCGGGGGAGGGCCGGGGGTAGCCTCCCGGGCCAGGAGCTCAGGGGCTGGGCAGGAGGGTCCCTTGGGCCGGGTGTGGCCTTCTCCACTGGTCTGCTCGTAGGTTCCTTGTTGAATCACTGATCTGATCCAGGATGGTGATTCCTGTTTTCCCATAAGTGATGTTTCCTTGGAGGGTCTCTCAGCAGGGAAGCCATGGAGACTGGCGGGAGAGCGGTAGGGAAGCTTGCTACTGCCCCTGTTGTACCTGTTCTGTGGCTACAAGGGACGACTCCAGTCTCAAGGGGTGTTAACCCAGCACCTTCACAGCACTAAAGCAACTAACCAAACTTTCCAGCAGGACTAGCTGACCAATCACTTGTGAGCGCAGGGGGAGTCTGTTGGCCCTTTCGGGGTTGTGATTTCTTCCTCCACTCTACTGCTTCTCTGAGGCTGGAGGATTTCACAGCAAGTTCTTTGCACTTGTAGATCAGCCTTTCCACACTACTGCTCTCAGATAATAAAACCAGCCAACACAGGCTCATTTAGGTTTTAACACACTGAAATATGCAACGCTCTGTGTGTGTCACCCACAAGGGGGTGAGTGCGGAGGAGAGAGAAAGAACAGTGAGAAGCAGGACGCCAGAGGAAAAACATAGAACACACCAACTCAGCTGAGTGTGCGGGCCGGGGTTCGTGGTCCCCGCAAAGGAAGTGACAGCTCTTGTTCATTATTTATATTGCAGTCGTCCTAACAGCCCCAATCAGGAATCCGGGCCCCGCTGTGCCAGGTAGAGAGATGGGCCCTGCCCACAATACTAGCTTGTCTGCACAATCTCTCTTGCCACATTCCATTTCCTGCCTCCAGAATTGAACAGTCTGGTCAAAACTCTCCCCACCCCTCAAATGTCAGCTCATTCCTTCCCCCACTCCTGCCTGCATGGGCAAGCTGGGGGGTCCTTGTTACCTGCTCCTTCCCCAGGAGACCAGGCCACGTTTCCATGGTTACCCCTTTCCAGGTGCTGCTGCAGAACTAGTATAAAACTCTGTGGCAAGACCATATCTGTATTTTTCTTTACTGCCGTTATGAATGTCTGGGGGTGATTCTGATCTCGCATACACAGGTGTAAATCAGTAAAAACTCCCTTGGAATCAGCTGAGTTAAACTGGGGGAAAGCCAATGACCGTGAAATTAGAATCAGACTCTCCGGGTGAAATCCTGGCGTCAGTGAAATTAATGGAAAAACCTCCCTTGAGTCCAGATTTTAAACCCCTGCTGATTCCCTGCTGTTGGGATGCAGGCACTAGCTTTCCAAAGCCCGATCGCCAGCCCCTACGTGCTCCCGTCAGCCCTCTGGCAGGCACCATGGACCTGCTGTTACTCCTCCAAGCATGAGAGCTGCCTGCGCTCCTGGGAACCAAGTCTTTGGGTTTTAACCCCAGCACTCAAGTGCTGGTTTCTGTCTGAGTCGATTGTGCTGTGGCTGCAGTGTGTTAACATGGATCCAGCATAAAGATAAGGGGGAATAAAGGGAAGAGGAACAGAGGCTGGTTAGGCCAGAGAGAAAACTCAGAGTAGGGAAGTCATGAGACGTGCTCTTGGCCATCCCTTAGTGACTTCAGCTTCAAGGACAGACAGCTCAGCAGCTCCTGTTTTTGCTTGTGTGGTCAACTGCACAGCTCTTGTGGTTCTGTTCCCAATTTGAATAAGATCTGAAGCACCGGGCTGCTGCGGGAACTGAGGCTGGAGGTTTCCAATGCAAGCTTAGTTTAGGAGCCCTATCTGTTGCAGCTGCTCTGCAAACAATGCGCCGGGGCTAATAGTATGCAGTGCTAGAAGGAGTGGTCTTCACAGCTTCAGATGCGAGCAGAAGATGCTAACAGTGCCACATGCCTCCTTTTCACCAGCCCAGCTACACCCATGGGCCAGCACTCTTAGCTTGAAAGCCAGAGTGGGTGCTTACTGCCTGTATGCTACCTCCACCTCCAGGCTGCACGGCCCTGCGTGTTCATTTTTAGAGCAGTTTCATTGTCTAACCACACCAGAAAGTAGGGTATTGATCAGCACGGCAGAGCAAAGTGACTGGAGCCCCTGTGCAGCTGCTGCTCGGAAACTCTGGCTCGCAGCGCGAGTTTCGCTTTGCCCAATGCTGTCTGGCACCGTGTGGGCCAAGGAGCTGGCAGACACGCCAGGGAATGAGACAACAGGGCTGCCCGACAGCTGCTCTGAAGTAGCGGCTGAGGAGGGAATGCTGGCCTGCACGCCTCCTGGGGGAGTAGAAGGGGCTGTGGGGGAGGCAAGAGCTGATCTGCTCCACTCTGAATTAAGCCCATTTCCTTCTCTCCATTCCTCTCACATTCCCTCCTTCTTTCTGTGTCCCCCTTTGTCAATCTTCTCGGTCCTCCTCTCCTCTCCCATCCTCCCTTCCAGCCTACTCCCAATCTTCACTCCTTTCCATCGACTCTACATCTCCGGAC